CACCGGGGGGTGGCACCGCAGTGTCCCCTCCCCTGTCACCTGGGGGTCACTCACCGCTGTCGAACTCATCGGGGATCTGTGGGGGACAGGAGGGGACACTGAGGGGACACCGAGGGGACACGAGGGGACACCGAGGGGACACCGAGGGGACACTGAGGGGACAGGAGGGGACACCGAGGGGACATTGAGGGGACATTGAGGGGACACCGAGGGGACACCGAGGTGGCACCGAGGGGACATCCGGGGGGGAAGGGCCAGCCCGGGGGGACAGGGACAATTCGCGGGGAGGTGACACCGCGGCCTCACGTCCTGTTGTCCCCTCCGGGCTCATTGTCACCCTCTGCCACCCCCTTTGATGTCGCCGCGTCCCCCGGATGTCCCCCCCCATCCCCCCCGGGGACAAAAAGGGGCTCCGGGTGACAAAAGTGACACCGAGCGCAGGGACACGGGGGAAGGGGGCGGGGCCTTTGGGGACCTGCCACCCTCCCTGGGGACAACCGGGGACAGCCCAGCCCCCCCTCTGTCCCCTCACCTTGTCCCCGTGCTCGTCCACCGCGTTGCTGCCTGCGAGGGGACATTGGGGACACCGGGGGGACACCGGGGACATCGATCAGCGCCACCCCGGTGTCCCCCAGAGCCCCTGGGGACACGAGGGGACACGAGGGGACACGAGGGGACACGAGGGGACACCGAGGGGACATCGAGGGGACATCGAGGGGACATCGAGGGGACATCGAGGGGACACGAGGGGACACTGAGGGGACATCGAGGGGACATCGAGGGGACACTGAGGGGACATTGGGGAAACACAAAGGAGACTTTGGGGGGACGCTTGGGGACATCGGGGCACACCTGGGGACACACAGGGGGACATTGGGGACACTCGGGGACATTTGGGGACACTCGGGGACATTCAGGGACACTCGGGGACACTCGGGGACATTTGGGGACACTCAGGGACACTCGGGGACACTCGGGGACATTTGGGGACACTCGGGGACACTCGGGGACATTCAGGGACACTCGGGGACATTCAGGGACACTCGGGGACATTTGGGGACATTTGGGGACACTCGGGGACATTTGGGGACACACCGAAGATGTAGAGCACGGCCACCCCGCCGGTGGCCGCCAGGAGCCCCCCCAGGCGCAGCGCCAGGCGCCGCAGCGACCCCCGCGCCGGGTCCTCGTCCTGCGGGCCAGGAGGGTCCGCGGCCACCTGCGGGGACAACGGGGACAATGGGGACACCTGCGGGGACAACGGGGACAATGGGGACACCTGGACACCTGCGGGGACAACGGGGACACCTCGGGGGGTCCGCACTAACTGCGGGGACACAGAGCTGAGAGCTGGGCGGAGCCAGGAGGAACACCTGGGCACACCTGGGCACACCTGGGGACCATGGGGACACCTGGG